TTTCTGTATGTGATGACAACATCTGACATACACACATGAAAACCTAATATTTGTGTCATTCTCAATACTTTTGGCCATGACTGTACAGTCCCACAGCAGCAGAGCGCCACATTCACTATGGCTTTAGCCGCATGCGGGACGCTCTTAGCGCTGTTTGTTACTTTTAGCGCGCTCCTGGAGGCGGATGGACAGGTAAACAACATATTTACCTTTTATTCAGCAGGTGCACTGGCAAGTTTATGTTGTTTTTCTTGCTCGCAAATCAATCTGCATCAAGCCACACACATCTCATTTTAAATGGATTGATTTCAGATGTTATAAGCTATTTTGCTATCTAAACTGCATGGGGTTTGAACTTCATTAGCAGGTGTGAACTATTTGTTTAAATGAGAGCAGCTGCAGGAAATATAGACTGACAGTGTTCCTAAAGTATTCTCAAACTTGTAGCTGTGCAGTTTGAAAAGAGATGCATAAGTGAGCGCTTTTTACTTAATTAACATTCTGGAGTAACTGTATTTAGCCACCATGGTAAGGAGATGATGACAAATTTAAGTTTTCATAATGAAATGCTATGAAAATGGAAAAGGTTTCCTCTGCGTGGATTGATACCAAATTGGTGACTAATCTGGCTGAAAATGTTGATATATGAGCCCCTAGTGAAATTCAGTAAGGGGGAAAAGACTTTACTTTGCCACACTACTTGGTCTGTCACCCTTCACATCATCCATGGCTCATTCATCAGGAATGGGCGGGGAAACCTTTTACAGCTAAACTGAGCCAAATCACTTGAACTCATAACCATGAATTGTTTTGGTGATGCTAAGACAGACATGATTTCAACAGAGAATATACTTCAATTCAACATTGGTGATTTATCGAATGTTAAGCGTACTTGACAAACAGTCTGCAAACCACATCAGCACACATGTTTTAATGTTTCTGAAGAGCTGTTTGTAAAATCCATTTTTAGTGAAAGAATCCCACATTCTCTAGACAGTGAAAATGGCCAATGCTAGAAAAAAA